GATGGGCAGTTGGTCACCTCTTTTTCCATGTGATACCGCCCTGAGCTAGATCAAATACAAATTAAAAATGAAAGAAAACGGAAATGCTCAAAGAAAAAGGTAATAACTCATGCTAAGATATTTTGTGCTCCTGCAGGAGCATACCATCCATTTATTCTCTCCGGTAAAATCCAATCTCCGTCCATTTATACTCGGGTAAAATCCAATCTCGAAGTATATATAGGAAATCTTACTATCTTTCCAATGAAAATAACGTCTCAAAAATGAATAAAGAGCATCAAATTTTTGGAGGGTGTGAACTTTGAAAATTTTAAAAAATATTTTTACATAGAAAATGGAAACTTATCTACATTCTAAAATTTATAGAATTGCTCTTCGGTCCATATCTACATTCTAAAATTTATAGAATTATTCTTCGGTCGGGAGAGCGAGTTTAGAAAGAAAAATCGATGATGATCTTTTACTGATGTTTAGATATAAGTATTATCTTTTGCACCCCAAAATTGTAATCTTCATTGTGATAGTGGATTTCGACTTGCCGAAGCCGTGGATTTAGCCCTATGGGTGAATCACGTAAAGCGTATGTTGTTGTGGTGTGATTTTTATATTTGCTTTACTTATCATACTCGATTTATAGTTGTATTCATCTACTTCGCATTTAGCCAACTATGTACAAAATCTTGGGTGGGATTCTGGTATTTGAGATTCTCGATTCTACAAGCGAGGGGTTTTCGAGTACCCTATAGGTTAGAGAGAGAAAGAGCGATCCAAGGGTGGGTGATGGCGAAGGAGAAGGGGATTGAAGGGGCGAAGAGCGGTGCTTTTTTTGAGGGGTTGCAAAATAGAGTGCCTAGATGTTTGAAAGAGATGGGGTGAATTGCCCGGTATTTGAAGTATCAGACAACAAAAAGCATTTAAAGAATAGACTCATGTTCAATGTTTGCATTGACGGATATGAGGACAACTTAGGGGAAAAAAAAAAAAACGTGGGAGGGGGGTTGGGGGGTGTGCTCGTAATTTTGAACAAAAGTAAGCCCATTTGGTAATTTACTCACCTCAAATAGTGTCCATACTTAATTTGCTCAAAAATAAAACTTGTTGAATATTCCCAGTTAAATGTTGAGATATGTTGTTGTAAATAACTTAATTAACATGCTCTTTACGACATCTCATTCATTATTGCATTGTGCTTAAGAGAGAAGGAAACACTCACATTTTTATACCCTTTCTAGAGATTTATGTGATTTGGTCAGTGTCGCAAAGTGTTATACCATGACATTTAGAATTAACATTAAGAGAAAAAATAAAAAGAAATTGATGCGATTATTTTCTTTTCTTCTTTCTTTTTTTCTTTTACTACATTTGTGATACACAATGCTGAAAAAATGGTGGGTGAGACATGGCTAAATAATATTTATGTGAAGGTTTTAAAGAAACATCGTGGAGAATGGGAGGACTTTCCTGTTTTTAGGCACATGCTAATTGGCTATTTCAATATTGTATTTGCCCTTTTATTGATATAAATCAATGTGCAATTGAAAAGGGCAAATAAGCCCTCAGGATACCTCAAAACATAAGGTCACAATAATCTCGCCAATTTATTGCACTAAGAAAACCAGCACTCAAATTACCAGAGGTGCCTTTAATATTTTTAAAGAGAGAGTAGTTAATGATGGAAAATTATTTCTAGAAAGAGAGTAGTTGTTGCTGAAAATTCAGGTAAGAAAAATGATTTTAAACAAGAAGATTTATAAACATATGAAAATTTTGAAAATTGATGGTTTAGATTATGTGTTGCAAGATCACTATTTTTGGGACTCATTATCCTTTTTTTTTTTTTCCAGATTCATACATCTCGATGTATGATCAATTATACGATTTTTTAACATTAAAACAACCTTTTCCGATGGAGTTTTGAGGTGCATCTTAAATTCTACATTTTAAGGTTGCAACCTTATATAAACTTTTTCCAAAACCTAAAAGCCTATAACAAAATTGTTTTTATTTTGGTGTTCACTCGAATTGTGATGAAGCGATCCTTTTTTTACTTTTTTTTTTTGGAGATAATGGATTTTATTTTGGTTATCACTCGAAATGTGATAAAAGCCATGATGAGTTTTATTTGGTTATAACTCGAAACGTGATAAAGCCATATTCACAAAAAGGCAAAATTTTCAACACCCATGAGAGTTTGCACTATTTTATCATTTATACATTTACAACTATTCCAAGTTTCCAACTCATAATCATGTGTGTTTTTATGGGTATCTTGAAATTAAATCAAGCACTATATATAAAGTGACAAACATTGCATCACTCCCCCTATTTTAATAAATTCGCCTTACACAAACCATCCAGACAATTTATTGAATGCACGGCTCAACGAGATAGCGCCTAAACATAGCAAGAGAAGTACATTATTTATTAAAAATGTTTGTTAGAAAGTGAGAGAATGCATCCCAATTTGACCTTGCTTTATTTTACAATAAAAGGAAACTTTTCCAACATGGGGTTGGAACTATTTTAAATAACGAGGTATTTAATCATTTGTTTATTTGAGAGGGGATGGCATACAAAAAGTTACAATTTTTCTGGAAAGCATTTTACCCCACCCACATTTAATATGTCCGTTGGTGTCGATTGTCATATCTGAGTAGATAGCGGATTGTCATATTTGAGTAGATAGCGGAAATGACTTGAGTCATAATGTTACAAACTAGCTCTGGGCAGTTAGATCTTGATCGAAAGCCTATAATTTTTTTATTTTTATTTTACAAATAATTTGAAGTATACATAGATCCGACATGATGCATATAATAAAAATAATAAAAAATAATTCTGGTGATAAAAAAAAACTACTAGAATACCCCTATAAATTATAAAGATATTTTGGTCATTTAGTTTTACAAAAATATTTATTTTTTTGAGGTTTGCCCTAATTTTATAATGGGACATCCAAAATTTAATCCAAAAATATTTAGAAAAAAAAATGAAAAAAAAAAAAGTTTGGTGTGACATTGTGGTATGAACAATTGTAGCCATTCAATCTTGAATCGTACCGGGTAAAAAATGAGGTCTCATATAACTTATGTGTTGTCGGGGCCGCATAGAAACATTTCCCTTTTATATATTGAAAGATGTACTTTGCTATGTTACAATGGGAGCATAGATGTTTTTTTTTTTTTTTCTCCGACTTTATATGAAGATTTTCCATTGACCCTGCCATAAATCAATGGAGTAAGTACACTATTCAACAAGAGTATTGCTGACTATGACAATTGAGCACACGGGAAAAAATAGCATAATCCACTTGAGAATGTTAAAATAGAGGGATAATGTTTTTTCAAATAAGGAGTGAAATTTATCAAATACAAATAAGAGATATGGGATTTCTCAAAGAATTTATTGTCTGCTCAGGTGATCTTTTTTCTTCCAAAACAAACGGCTATTTGTACAGGGAAAATCCATAAAATTTGAGGTTAAAAGAATATGTGTTCCTGTGGAAGCATATACTCCATTTACTACTGGGATGATACGCAAAAAATCCTTTTTTTTTTTTGTTTTTTAAAATAGAACCTACATAAATCCATATTTTATATTCTTTTCAAACAAACTTTTCAATAAGTCTTTTTTCATATAAGTGTGTTAAAAACACAATCAATACATTAAAAAAAGAAAATTATTTCAACTGTATCTTTTAAAATAATGGGCAGAGTTCGAGGAAGAGTAATTCCTCTTTTTTTCTAAACCTGGAGCAGCAAAAAGAGATCAGTGACAACTAAAATGTGATATCTGTATATTGATTTATGTAAACATTCTATTGCTTTTTTTATACATACAGGAGTTTGGTTAATTCTACTTTTTCGAACTTTTGAGTTATGTCATCAGTGTACAATAAAGCACTTTAGATAGATCATTATTTTGTATTTTTGGGTTTTTGTATTTTAATTAATTACAATCTTATACATAGTTTTTTTTGTTTTCCCGTAGATTGGATTACAACTCTTATTATTTGTTACTATAGTACTTGTGTTTAGGATTTGTGATTTCATTACATGCTCCAAGTAAATCTATCATATATTTTATGACATGACAACGAAGTAAGCATTTGCTATCATTATTCATATTTATAGTAATGGCACTATGAGACCCTCCAACACTCATGTGATTAAGACTGCCGATGATCGCCAATAACTCTTATACAGATATCTAAAAAAGTTATTACATGGGTGTGAGACTTGAGTGAATGGATTTATTGATAACTTTTTTAGATATCTGTATCCAAAATTAATTCTGATCCTTTGGGGTCATACTCACATGGGTGTGGAAGGATCTCGTAGTATCATTATTCTTATATTTATTAAAAGATTAGACCAAATATTGTCAAGTATTACCTTAATGATACTAGGTAAGGAGATAAAATTATTGTTCAATAGCTTCAATGTATCCATATACTATCTCATAAACTTATCCTTTGTCATCTGTACATATCCGTATTTTTTTTTCACCTCGTCTTTTTGGGTCAAATCTAAAATATTCAAAATATATTTAACTTACCTAATTTTTGACCCGAGTTTTGGCCTCTGTTCTTTTGGAACAAAACCGATTTGTTACTGAAATTTTTGGTTGCCAATGTATTGTTATTTTTCGGCTTGCCAACCATGGTTAAAGCTTCTTTAGAAATAAAATTAACAAATTGTCTCAATTATCTGGCTTCTTAACAGGGGATAATTTAAAAACCTATTAAGGCTCTTTTAGGACACACTTAATTCAAATATAATCTTTAAAAACAAACCCTCAAATTATTTACTTGACCCCAAAAGGGATTTAACCCCTTCATTGATGGAAAATGTTGCAATTGTTTACAAATTACAATCCCTTATTTGATAGCTCCCCTTTAGGATTAGCTTTGGTGGCATTTCCGTAATTTAAAAAATACAGTACTGAGAATTAGTCAAGCCACCCACTTTCGACACGGAGGGAGAGGAAGAAACCCAGGTCTCAAAACCGGAGGTAACTCCCAAATGTTGCAGAAAAAGTAGAGAGAGAAAGAGAGAGTAAGAGAGAGAAAGTGAGAGAGAGAAAAAGAAGAGTAGGGATCCTGGATCCACTCTCTTCCCGATTCCTGCAACCATCCCCCACTCTCTTCCTTCGTCGCCCACTTCCTCACCATTCTCTCTCTAAAATTCCCAACACTTCTCTCTACAATTACCCACTTTCTCTCTCTAAACCAAGTTTTCTCTGCAATTTGCGACTCTCTCTAAAACGGACTTCGTCGCTCCTCTGCTACTCGGCCACACAACAATTCCCACAACCCCGCATTCGCCCTCCCAAAGCTGGAGCCCCTTCAAGAAGCTCAGCCGTTGAAACCCCAAGTTAACGGTCAGATCCGCTACAGATCCCCTTCCTGTGCTGAATTAGAGGGCCAAGTCCAGTCATTCACGGAGACGGGGGAGAAAATGAAGAGAATGAGGCATGAATCCACGGGAGAAAGACTTTACAGGTTTAGAGGTGTAATTCTCGTGATTTGTGTTCCTCTTCTTTTGATCTCCTTCGTGTTATTCTTGATGCCTCGAGTTCCAGAGGAGATCGATACGTTTGTTGAGGTTCAAAGTGCTGGGGTTTCAAAGGATTCGATGAGGAAGATGCAGAATGTCCATGGATCGAAGAGCTATGCTGTGATCTTTGATGCAGGGAGCTCGGGGAGTAGGGTTCATGTCTATTGTTTCGATAAGAATTTGGAGCTTGTTCCAATTGAGAAGGAGCTCGAGCTCTTTGTTCAGGTACTTAATTTGCAGAGGAAAAGTGTTTCTTTTTGTTATTTGATTTTGGGTTTAGGGTGGTTTTTCTGGATGGAAAGGAGCTCGAGCTCTTTGTTCAGGTAGTAGATTTGCAGAGAAAATGTGGGTTTTTTTTGCTTGTTTATTTTGGACTTGTTGGCGCCTTTACGGATGAAAGGAGCTCAAGCTCTTCTTTTGAATTATTCTAGATCCTTCTATGTAACCCCCATTAACTGCATTGTTGTTGAATTTTTCTTTTTTCCATTTTTTCCTCAAGAATTTGGGGGAATATTGACTCCGACTCTCTAGGCTGCTGATTAATTGCTGAATAGTTACGTGAAATTGATCTGCTACATGGTTTGGTGGGCTTCTTTTGTTGATTTGTTCAATTTTTTAATATTTTATTTTATTGGGGTTTCTATAATTTTAATAAGTTTAAGTCTTTTGAGCTGCAAAGTTTTTGCTAAAAATATATTATGCAATTGTTATAGTTAATCTCTTTTAATTTCTATTATCGTTCTGTTGCAGTTCTCTTTGATCTTGTATTATGCATGTAGATACAATTGCCAAGAAATGGTGATGTTTTTTTCTGCTTGTCCCAGTTCTGTTTGGATTTTCTTTTATCTTTTATTGGGAACTGGATTTCAACTTTTTGGGGTTTGTGTAATTTTCTTAATTTTACAGTGTCAGGACAATTATCATGTACCAAAGGTTCAGAGTCGTTTAGTCAGATATTTGGACTGGTAGAAGAGCCAAGAAGGACTAGTTTATCATTTTTTTGGCTTTTCAATTCCTTCATTTGTGGAATCTGCAAAAACAAAAAATTGTTTATTTAATATCTTTCTTTTGGAATCAAGCTAAAAATGCAATCTAGCTGTCAAAAAACACAAATAACTCACATTGCAAAGGAAACAAAGAAGTATATTTGAGTATATTCCAATAGAATACTTATGATCTGATCGTGTTCCCGCATTGTCAATAAATGTCTTTGAAGCTCGCTAAATTAGATTGTGGAACAAAATAAATGATAGAACCTGAAAGGTCCAATGCAATTAGTCTTTCAAAATGGGTCCAAAACAAAATAAAAGGCATGAAGTGATGCTCCACACTAAACTATGTAAGAATACAATGACAATGCAACATTATCAACAATTGATGTTCATAAACAAAAAGTAACAGCACATTTTAAAATCAAGCACGCATTACATTGTTGCACTTGACAAACATATGGTGAGTGAAATTTCTCTTTCATGGTGAATAATGGTCTAAATTGGTTCCCACAATATTTCAAGTTTCTTTTCATCTTTTGCCTTGGGCTGTTAGATACTAGTGTATGAGCCTCCAGGTATTTATAAGAAATTATTGTGACCATACTTTGTGAATTGTATTTCTTCTTCTTAATCTTTCCTTCTTTTTTTGAACCTCTTTGTGTAATATTTTTACAAAATTTCATTTTGATGGCCTTGTGCTTTTATCTACAGAAAAAGCCAGGATTGAGCTATTATGCTAGCAACCCGGAGGAGGCTGCGAATTCTCTCAAGCCTCTCTTAGTCAAAGCTGAAAGTGTGATTCCCCAAGCCTTGCGCAAGGTTACGCCAGTCAGAGTTGGGGTAATTTCAGAACCTTTGGCAATCTTTAGGTGCATGATTTGACCTAAACAATAGAATTCAATACAAGATAAATTGTTTGAAGACACACCAAAGCATCCTTAATCCCTATGTCTATGAGAATTTTCAGGCATATGATGTCATGGTAATCTGTAGAATACTGTGTAATGATTGAAATTGTTAAAATCAATTTTGATGTGTTCATTTTCTATAACTGTTTGTGCAGGCGACTGCAGGACTGAGGTCGTTACCTGGGGACTCATCTGATAGAATTTTACAAGCAGTAGGTCTTCTGTTCAATTCAATTTCTTTTTTTTGTTACATAGATGTGAACTTCAGGCTATTTATATCTAATTAAACAAAGAGAAAAACTTCTGTATAACATGATAGTCTCAATGAAAATGAGTATTTCTAACAGATGACTGACTTTAAACAAGCCACATCATAAAGTAAAAACCTGTTTCATATGGCAAGCTATCATCCTTTTTTTAGTAACACCAGTGAGATGTTGCTAATAAAAGGGGATTTTGAAAAGATTCAAAACCACAGTTATTTTTTATGGCTCTTTTTATTTCCTTCAACTTCAGTGGTCTTGTTTTGTGGTTCATTGGGTGTTTTGATGAGTTTCCCAATTATTAGCCGTGAAGATCCTGGGTTCTTTTCCCAGTTTTATCAACTTCTGAGATTGTAAAGTTTTGACTTATTTACCAAGAAATATCATTATGTGAATCCATACTGATAATGTTTTATGAGTTCCGATGTTGCTTTCTTGGTACACAACAATGAACAGACTCTCTCCTTTTGAATGACGTTATTCAATTCGTAATTCTTATTAGGTTGCTTCTTGAAAGTTGATTGGTATGGAAAATGTCGGTTCAAATTGATAATTTTTAATTCATATTTTGCAGGTAAGGGATTTATTGGCAGATCAGAGTTCTCTGATGTCAAAACCAGATTGGGTTACAGTTTTAGACGGAACTCAGGAAGGCTCTTTTCAGTGGGTATAATTTACAACTTGGTTTATTTAAGTATTATACCAAACAGGGGTTGTAAACATGTAGGATATGTTCGAGTTTTAGTTTAATCTTCTCCTGCCCTCTATGCCTGTTTGAGTGTGTAGTGGGCCACTCTACTTGAGTATCAACATGCAAAGTGCTATTTTTTCAGTTAAACAAGACAAGATTGCCTCGCAGCAGTCACAATGGACTTGTATAGAATGATAGGGTTGAATGACATTCGATAATTAATTTATTTTTTTACCAGAATTTATAAGATGTTCAATGCATAAAAATCAATTAAATTATGATTTAGTTTAGAAGAAGTGGTGTTCTTTATATCATCATCATAGCCTTTTCCCAACTAATTGGGTGCGGCTACGAATCATAGTCTGCCATTTTGCTCTATTAAGAGCCATAACCTCTGTAAGGTCATAAGTCTCCATATCTTTTCTCACTACTTCCAAACATGTCCTTTAGGCCCTACCTTTGCCTGTCATGAGCTTTCCACTTGAACTAACTCGCATCTCTTAACAGGTGTTGTACTGGATCTGCACTACACATGGCTAGCCCATCTAAGCCTACTTTCTCTCATCTTATTGCCTATTGGTGCCACACCCAAATTCTTCCGAATGTATTCATTTTGAATTCTATCCTTTATTGTCGTATCACTCATCCATCTCAACATCCTTATCTCTGCTACACTAATTCTATGGGTATGTTGTTTCTTGACTGCCCAACATTCTGCCCCATAAAGTAAAGCTGGTCTCACAACTGTCCTAACTTGCCCTACAGTTTCATTGGTATGCGGCGATCACATAAAACTCTGGTTTCACATCTCCACTTCGCTTAGCCAGCTCTAATTCTATGTGCGACATCTTCTTCAAACTTTCAATTATTGGATTATCGACCCAAGATATCGAAAGTGTGCCTTTTTTGGTATTTCTTGGCCGTCCATCTCATCTACTTCCTCGTCTCTATTCCTATTATTACTAATCTTGTGTTCCATATATTATGTCTTAGTTTGGCTAATTTTAAAACCTTTAAAGTCTAGAGCATCCTTCAAAAGTTTCAACTTTGTATTGACGTTGTTTTGGGTCTCATCGATCATAACTATGTGAATTCTAGATTCATGAGAAGTTTTGGCCAAGTTTTACGTTGGTGGCTTACCTAACATAGCCCACCTCCTTTACCAGGGCTTGGGATTGGTTAAGAGAAAGTTTAAGGTTCTTACCCATCTTAGACCAGGCGTTCTTCACATAGTAGTTATAAATGGAACATGCTGTCCCTTCACGGTGGTGGTTAACTTCAAAAAGCAGGGATTTCTGCTTGGCAAGCTGATGTGCCATTATTGGGGGGTGGGGGATATTCTGTCTTCTATGATTACATTTTAAAGTTTGGGCATGTTTTTGTACTAAGAGTGTAATCCGTCTGATCTGAAATCAAGATTTAGGTGTGCAGCCTTTTTTCATTTGACATTTTCAAGCCACTGCTAAAGTGAGAAACTGCTGGCTTGGTTATCATTGCTCTTTATCGTTAACCAACACTAACATTCTGAATGGTTATCAAACAATGTCTCCAGGACTCAATAAACTTTGAACATTAAGATATATTATGTTGTTTACATGTCGTTTAGGATTTATCCATCTCCAACTCATTGATGTCATCTGTGTCGTGTCTCCTTTCTATTCCTTTTTTATTTTATTTTTATTGTAAATTTCTGAATGTACCATTTGCTATGACCATACCTCATCTCATACTTTTTAGAAATGAATTACTTTTATCCAATTATCAAAAAAAGTTCCATTTATCGATTTGCCACTTGTGACAGATGAAATTTACATTGTGATTGTGATCTGTGATTATTACACTGTTTTTTTACTAAGTTTGAGTTCCCTTGTGCAGGTTACTATCAACCATCTTTTAGGAAATTTGGGGAAAAGTTACTCACATACGGTTGGTATAGTTGATCTTGGAGGGGGCTCTGTGCAAATGGCATATGCCATTTCAGAAAAGGATGCTAAAAAGGCCCCAACAATAATAGATGGGGAGGACACATATGTCAAGGAACTGTTTCTTAAGGGAACCAAGTACTACCTTTATGTGCACAGGTCCTTGCCTTTCCTTTTATGGGCCTTAACATTATGCAAGACATGTTTTTGTGTCTGAACAATTCTCATTTGTATGTTATTGGGATGCTCAAAGTGGATAAATTCAGTTCAGATTGTTGGATGTGAACATTTTTTTGTAATATATTGAAGAAAAAAAATCTTTATCTGGCTCTTTATTGGAGAAGCCATCATTTCAATGGATACTTATGATTCTAAATTTCTCTACTTCTTATTGTTTTTCCGATCTTTTCCTGTATGCGCTTAACACGGCTTTCCTTCCCCCCCCCCCTTATTGATGCAGTTACTTGCACTATGGACTTTTGGCAGCTCGTGCTGAGATATTAAAAGTTGATAGAGACTCGGATAGTCCATGCATTTTAAAAGGCTTTCATGGTATGTTATGAAGATTCCTCTTTTTTTTATGTGTTGTTTGGCATATTTTCTTTTTGTGTCATGAACATTTATATATGTATGCTCATGTTTTTAAATATCTTGTGTTTTTTCATTCTTTATTTGTACCTCCATTCTTTTATTTTGTTTATTTTTAATTTCCAACAATTATACACATGATGCTGTAATCTCTCAATATGGTGGTACTCATGATCACAGAGAAGATCATATCCATGATAGTCAAATACCTCTATAATATTGATGAAGTTTATGTTATTTTCTCTCACTCGAAAATGTACATGTAGTGCTTGATGCTACATGTAGTGCTTGATGTACTAAAACCAAGTAGTTGTGGCTTGCCATTTGCAATTTCTGCCAGAGTTTTCAATTTGTTGTTTATTTGATTTAGTTCATATGTCTTGATAGAAAATGAAGAGATTTTCATCTCAGTGGTTTCTTTTTGTCTTTTTTAGGGTCCTACAAGTATGGAGATACTCAATTTAAGGCATCGGCTTTACCCACTGGATCTGATTTTACTAGCTGTAGAAGGGCTGCTGTGAAGGCCCTTAGGGTTAATGACACAACATGCACTCATATGAAGTGTACGTTTGGTGGGATATGGAATGGTGGTGGTGGAGATGGGCAAAAGAATCTTTTTGTGGCCTCCTTCTTCTATGATAGAGCTGCAGAGGTACTAATGCTCTAATTTAACGGACTTTTTTATCTTGTATTTATAGGGTTTTCTTTCAAAAAACCTATGATACATGCTGATTTCAACATTGGATCCATTTGATTTTCTGCACCCACTATCATAGTCTGTAGGAGGGGCGCTTTTTGTTTTTGCCCCCCCACCAAAAAGGCGCTCTTTTTCTAAAACTATTTTAAAATATCTTCAAATATGATATTTTCCATTAATATTCTAAAACCCACGAGATATTGGTGTTATAACACCAATATATGAAGTATTTCTTTTCTTAAAATTTCAAAGCACAGATCAGAGGTTTTCTGGTGGAGTGACAAATCAAGAAGTTTTCCTCATACCAGTTTTGACATGGATGTTGATGGATGCTGTTTTAATATTAAGAAATCGGATGGATTCAGTGTTAAATCTCTTATCGTTTCCCATTTCCCATTGGGGTCATCGACATCCCAAGGAAACGATGGACAGTGTGGGACCCTCTGTTTGGTGGAGTCCTTCTTTATATTGTCCTATATAGCAGTTTTAATTTAATTCTCCTTAGTTCGTTGAAAAATGAAAATTTTGAGAATCTATAGATCTTTCAAAATGGTCCAGAGCGATCTATATGTCTAACATTTTCCTGTGTTCACAATATTTATAATGTGTTGCATTTCTCTTCTAGTTTAGTTTCTTTCTTTCCCCATCGTTTCTCTTTCTAATTTTTCAAATAATTTCTGAAGAATTACTCTTTTGCTCATATTACTTGATTTCTTTTTGCATTGGTGTTTGCCCTGTAATACCAAGAAGTCATTCTCTTTAGGCTTCGGAGTTTCTTTTACCACTGCTAATAGCATTTTCTTCTCATGAAACAGGCAGGTTTTGTTGATCCAAAGCAACCTGTTGCCAAAGTGAAACCAGCAGATTTCGAGGATGCAGCCAAGAGGGCTTGCCAATCAAGTCTTGATGAGGCCAAGAAGACATTCTCACGAGCAGAAGAGGGGAACCTGCCCTATCTCTGCATGGACCTTGTTTATCAATACGCGCTTCTCATTGATGGATTCGGTATGTTTCCTTACCTTGCCTGTTTTTTTGCCTTGTTCTAAGTTACTAACCAATTAGTTTTTACATCCCAGGTTGTGGAAAAATAATAAGATCTTGGCAGCTGACTGGGTGCAATATAGGCATGCATTAATAGACTTAAAAGTCATAAAATAGAACAATAAGGAGAAATTGAACATGAAACAAAAAAAAGAAAAAGAAAAAGAAAAAGCAAATGGATAAAGTACAGAGAAGAAAGAAAATGATGTGAGATTTTGCTGACTTTAACTTACCCCAAAAAGAAAATGGAAATGAAAATCAGAAAAATGGTTCTGCTTGGCCAAACTCAGGAGCTGCTAACCCACTACACAAACACAAATTTTTATTAGTTGCGATTGAAGAAAAAAAGGATCCTGTTTGGCCAAACTGAGGAGCTAACAACCCACTCCAAATGCACAAATTTGAATTAGTTGCGAAGTTTATGTAAGGTTGCAACCTCATACTATAGAAGTACGGTGCAACTCAAAAATCCAGTAGAAAAGAGTGTTTCGAAGTTGGAAAATCTTCCAATTGATCATCTTGACCTCAAGTTGTATGGATATAAGGAAAAAGAAGAATATCAAGTCTTAAAATACTGCATCTTGTTACAAGCTACCTGGGCCATCTATTTTCAGGATTTTCAAGTGTTTATAGATCTACTCGATCTGCATTATTTTTTGGAATTTTGAATTTCATATTTGAGCAATAATTTCATGCAACGGTTGTATCATAATATAATGCAACAACATTCAAAAATCATGTTATGGCCATTTGTTTGATCCAAAATTTGAAATATACACTCTTTTCATTCTAATGAACAATAAAAAAAATAAAAAATAAAATTGAAAACACAATCTAGAAAGTATTTCTTTAGCTCAATTAACATAGGCTGTTCATTTTGGTGATATGCTTAGATCTAGGTCATAGAAGGATTATTCATTTTCAATCTTTTTGGATGACTTTATTATCATTAGATGAACAATATTAAAAGAGAAAAAAATGATTTTGAGTTTATAAAAGCTAAGATCTTGAAATTCACCAAATGAATGGTCTAGATTCATTTTTGAAAGGGACTCATTTTGACCATATCTAAATTGAACTCTTTTTTTTTTTTTTGGGATTAATAATGGAGACGAAGAGAGTGTGTGCGCCAAATTTTGGGTCATGCAAATAACACAAACATGGTTTTCTGAAAGTGTCGTTGTATTATAGTATGATGCAACCGTTGCATAAAATCATTGCTCTTCATATTTAGTGTTATACATGGATTTTCAAGCCACTGTAAGGTTTCCAACACAAGAATTACATCTTCCGGCAAAATTTAAAGGTGTGCCTACTTGTATAGTATGATGTGAGCACCTTATACAAACCTTACCCTTTTTTTTTTGTTAGTTTTCATATCTCTCGCTCTCTCTCAAATGTGGATGTTCGTTAGGTTATCTGTGCATGTGCATACGCTCACACAAACCGGTTCAGTGCAAGTTTGTGTACTCACATCTGTGCACTCGTGAAGCCTTGTTCTATATTTTATACCAGTTCTTACCATCCTATAGGGGACAAAAAAAAGAACGGAAAGTGTAGACAGTGATCGAGTGTGTGTGACATAGAGAGGAATGAACTTATAACTGATTGTTTCTTTACTGCAGCGTTGGATCCATGGCAGGAGATCACATTGGTGAAGCAAGTGGAGTATAAAGGTTTTCCAGTTGAAGCTGCATGGCCGTTGGGTAGTGCTATTGAGGTTGCATCAGCAATTTGAATTCTTAGTTTCCATTCAATGGCATAAGATCTTTGTTCCATTGGAGAAAAAAGGGTTCCTAGAGTGCCATTCTGTTGTTCTATTGGGTGTTGCTTCACAAAACACAGACATGGATTCATTTGTATAAGTATCATATTCAAAGTCGAAGAGGCTGCAATTTACGATTTGAAGCGAGGAGATTGGTATTGAAAAGTGTTTTTCACGATGATCGGCCATTTTGTTGTGAATAGGGATGAGCTCTGCTGTGTAGAGAGAGGGGAAGAAAGAGATTTGAGTAGTTTCTCTTTTTGTATCTCAAGCTGCACAAGAGGAGATCTATTTAATGAAGCCTCCAACTTCAGTTAATCCTGGACTGTGACTGTTGCATGCAATCTTTGGATTAGTGCATTTCTCTGGAGTTCCCTCTCTCCCACGATCGTCAAAGTGATGAATTTTTGAGACTCGCTTTCTCTCTCTAGTTCCCTCTCTCCCATGTTTGTGAAACTCTCTCTCTCTCTCTCTCTTGCTCATGGTAATGAATCTGTTACATTTTATTGACCAATTGTGAGTCAAATTCTCTCCGGTCCTCCGTTTTGATGCTTGGTGAGGTGAATTAAATGTCTTCATTTGAGATTTTGCATTTTCTCAATGTAATGCTTATCTCTTGGAGTTTGTGGGTGTTACTAAAAATCTATAGTACCAAGTGAAAATAAACGGTCTCATGATTTCTCCAATTCTCTTAAAATCTCTCCAAATTCTCGATTCTTAAAATCTTTTTCAACCTCGATTCTCTCTCTAACCAAATAATTCTATGTACTTAGGAAGATTAAAATAATACTAAAAAAATAAATTATTTAATGAGAGAATAAATCATCATCATCGTCTGAGTTTTTTTTCAACTAATTGAGGTCGACTGTATAATTCTGATCTGTCATTTTTCTTCTGATGAAAAATAACATTCATTGAGGAAAAAAATAGTTAAATTTTTAGATTGGCTCTTTGTTAGTGTGGTGGGGTTTATCTATGAGAGGGTTTCAAAGCACAGATTGGGTTTGCTTTGTAACCAGCTCTATGTGATATTTGTACGTGAAATCTTGACATGCTAAGCACCATTATTGATCGTCCAAAATGCGTTCTCACTCTTAAATGACTCTAAACAAAGGATATACCCTCTTCGTATGCCAAAATTGGGTCTTTTTTTTTTTTTTTTGCTTTTTTTTTCTAAAAAAAGTTTCTTTTTTTGCTTTTTTTTCTAAGAAAAGTTTATATAAGTTTGCAACCTTAAAATGTAAAACTAAAGATGAACCTCCAAAATCTATTGGAAAATATTGTTTTAATGCTGAAAAACCCTCCAATTGATCATCTGGACATTGAGATGTATGAATATGGAAAAAAAAAAAGATTTTGAATCCCACAAATAGTGCATCTTGCAATACATTATATAGACCGTCTATTTTCAAAATTTTCATGGTTATAGATCAACTTTGCAGCTAATTATCTAGACAATCTATTTTCAAGATTTTCATATGTTTATAGATCAACTTGATTTTAACAATTTTGGAGCTTAAATTTTTATAATTAAATATGAAAATGGATTTTGAGATAATTCTAATTAAATTTACACCAAAATTACATGTTATGATAAATTTGGAGGAGCGTCTTAATTGGATTGTTTAAGGTTGCAACCTTATAGAAACCGCACCCTTTTTCTATAGCAGTGCTACTTTATTGTACAATGGTTTTAATTTCTCTTGCTTTCTCTTCCTATAGCAGTGTTACATAGCACAATGTTTTTCATAGTCAAGGCTCTAAACAATCAAAATCTAGCGCGCGCACTTTCAAATAGTGCTGAGAAATGTGGCTTCAATACTGGAAATCTTTGTAATAGCCTTAAAATATATTTTCATCTCTAATTATAAAATTGAAATCTTCAAATATAGTGTCGATTGAGTAAATCTATGAAAACTTGAAAATCTTGAAAACTTGACGGTCAAAAAATACATTACAATATGCACTATTTTCAAAATTTGAAATCCATTTTTTCTCATGTCCATGCATCTTGATATCGAGATAATCAATTTGAGGATATTTGGACATCAAAACAACATCTTCTAATCAAAATTTTGAAGTGCGCTCTAATTTGATTGTTTAGAGAGCCTTGCACTAATATAAACTTTTTTTTTTTTTTATACCCTTTTTTTAACCACCATATACCCATATTATTGACAGGATTAAGAGGATTGCATAACATTTACGAATACCACAAATACCTATATTCCTTACTGTTTTATGTAATAACTGGAAATTCTTAAAAAACAAACTAATTGGCGACATTTATAAATAACATATACGGGTCCAAAATTTAGACCCATACCCGGACTTGGGATCGAGTCTACCCGTCAAATCCTGGGTCTCGTCGGGTCCATTGCCATCCCTACTTAGGATCGCTATCTATGATTAAAGTTGTCATTTGCCTTGACGTTCTTTTTATGCCAGCATGGACAAAGGTAAATTTGTCATTCCTCAGTAACGAAATGCGGCTCATGTAAGCTTTAGAAAAGGGATTCGGATTTGGATTCCCACTCTTTTCTGCTCTGGCGGCAACATATATTGGCCTTGACGTAAAGTATCACCAGGAGCCACATTGTACCCATTTCACCTGTCTCTTTACTTTGATTGTTTAGACCCTTGGCTCAGTACAAACCGCACCCTCTCTATATACATAAATAATAAGAGCATTTAGTGGTCATGATACAGCGATGGTCCCACTCCCACGTAGAGAGAGAGAGAGAGTCTCATGAGCCACAAGAACGTAGAAAAGAGAGGGCTGTTTAAGAACATAGTAGATTTGTGTGTGTTGGAAATGAAAGAGGGAGAGGGAGGGCCATGGCCACAAGAGTTTTAACTATTCAGAGTGATTTACAAACGGGCCTGAAATAATACTTAAAATGCGAAATGAAATGATTATAGGTGGACATTGTAGGTTACTCAGAAACCCCTAGCTTACGGAACGGTAAATCCTAAATACTAGGCTCTTACTCAAAGTAGTGTTAGCAAAGTAGATGAATACAAATATAAATCGAGTGCAAGAAATAAAACAAACATAAACAAACACACCACCACACACAACTTATGTGGTTTATCTTGTAGGGGCTACATCAATCAGGAAGTTTAAATCCACTATTACAATGAAAATTACAATTTTGAGTTACAAGAAGTAATATATCTATCTAAACATCAATAAAAAATTATCACCGATTTTCTCTTCTATATCTGCTATCCTAACCGAGTAATATCGTCTATCAACATCTTTTTCACCGCTAAACCATTATCGAAAAGAGTATCTTGAGAGCAATTAAGAGACTTTATTTCTTTAGAATTAGAAACTTAACTAACCCAAAATCTCATTCTTCTAACAAAAGTTTTGAAGGCGGCTCTAATTTGATTGTTTGAAGCCTCTTATTTATATAGACTTTTTTTCTTAAGCAAATAGATGAGAGAGAGAGAGGAGTAAGGGACAAGTACAAAGCGTTCGTTAGATAGAGTGAGGTACACTAAGGACAAGCATGCATGTGGTAAGTGGTGGTTAGTGCTTGGAAGCTTTCTTTTCACTAATAAAAAAAGCAAAGTGAAGATGCATAAAGAACACTGACGTGGATTTTATCTTCTTGCGCTTGCTGGCCTCCATTTAAACTTCTCCTTAGTCTCTTTCCTAATAATAATATCAAGAGCCACCTCTCTCCTTCGTCACTTGATATTATTATACCAATAATAATATCAAAAATTGTATTTACATCTTTCTCTTCTTTAATTTGCAATTTGTTTCCCACAACCAAGAGTTGTAAGAAATGTAATGTAAATTTCTCCCTTTTACTCTCTCATAAGGATGTGATTCGCTGTAAAACTATTAAGGAGTTTGGTTCAGTTAAAACTGATGTAGCTATTAATTAAATTAATTAAAGTGAATTAAAAAATAAAGGTAAAAATTTATGCAAGATATTCCAAATATTTGTCGAAGAATTTTTTAGCCAGATAGGTCAAAACCAATATGTTCGACTAGTAGAATTGATCAAACAAGTTTTGATTGGTTTTTTAAGAAATCTATTTTTTTTTTTTTTCATATTCAATCAGCCAAGATATTGATCAGCTCTCCGATCAAGGGACCAACACCAGTCAACTGTCTGACCAGTCCGGTCTAGTCTTGATAATTATGCTATCTATCTCTCTCCAATATATATATATGTTATTTGGGAAAATATATAATGAGATCATTTACTTTTGGTACAAGGTGGTCACAATTAATATTGATCATTGGATGTGAAATTAGGTGACTACATCTATTTCATTGATCAAGCTCAAAGTTTAAAAAAAAATTTCTCGAACTTTATGACACACTTAAGCTATCAAATTTTACATCAAACGGTTGTAAGTAATTGTAATCTCCCTATACAAAAAAATAAATAGTGTCATTGTATTCAATCCCTTATTCTTTTCGTATCTTTTAGTGGTAAATATTTTGGATGACTTACTCACCGCTTGAATTCAGGAAATTTAAAAATAGTCAAAGTCCTACCAAATTAAAATCGTGGCAGTTTTGTTTTGTTCCTTATGTATTTATGGGGTCTACAAGAACAAGAGTCCCGGCCGGCTTCGTCATTTAAAGATATAAAAAAGGGTGGTAAAATTTCAACATTATTTGACGTTTTCACATGAGGCGATTTTTCCCATGATGGTATATTGTTGGAGCATACTGTACACTTACTCTCTCAGCAAAAATTACTTATAATTAATAATTTGAACAATATTTGACTTTTTCCTCGAGTAAGGCGATTTTTCCCATGATGGTCTATCGTAGGAATGTACTGTACAAGTACTCTCTCAGCAAAAATTACTTGAGAATTGCTATCATACTCTCAATTTTAAATTTTATGATCCACTTTATAATCACTTGGTGATATTTTTTAATAGAAAAATAGATTTCTAGTTTCTAAACAATTAGATTTGAGTATCTAAAATTTGGACGGTCTTTTTTCGCTCTTAGAAATGTTATTTTTTGGGAGTCAAAATAGAGGGAGTATGGCTTATTTATTTTTGAGGTTGTTTAGGTGCCTTCGATAGGCAGTGCCTCTGACTGAAAATGCTTGAGTCACTTTTTAAGCTTTAAAAATGGACTGCAGGGGTGACATACGGCAAGCAGTGTGTTAACACCGATTGAAGAAAAGTTTTTATTGAAATGTTAACGAGTATGGAGCCTAGGACATCATGTTGTCCAATTAAGGATGTTAAATCTCATAAATTTGATTTTCTAAAACTACGCCCAAATAGGGTCTTACCCGAGGGAGTAAATGCACGGTATGCTCCTCCGGGAGCGTATATCTTTTGCCCCCCCAAAATGATAGAGAATTTAACTCGTATAAGTATTGCATACTACCAAGAAACCTGATAATGAATTTGCTTCCACAAAAATAATTTACATGTATAAATTTAGCAAATGTTGACAATTTGACATGTGAATTTAGCAAATGTGGGTTCACATTTGTCTTTAAAGCACCTGTGATCATTACATGCATTTAAGCATTTTGTAAGAAGTTTCAAAAGGATTTATAGACTCCCATTAACTTCTTCTAATTTTATTCTCTGTCCAATATTCTCTCACATCCTCTCTCTCATTCCTCAGCCCTTATAGACACATTATTTGTGGCACCCATCCCCCTCTCTCTCTCAATTCACATTCAGTCTTTTTTTTTAGATTGGTGGCAATTTATCGCCGGAAAATCTCATGGGTGAAGTTCCGGGAACTCGACACGTGGTTCTAGTTCATGGGGTTTGTCATGGTGCTTGGTGTTGGTACAAAATTGCCTCTCTTTTGAAGAATTCAGGCTTCAAAGTCACCGCAGTCGACCTCGGTGGTGCTGGAATAAATCCCAAAAATGCGGACTCTATTGTTTCATTCGAAGAGTACAATAAGCCCCTTATTGATCTCATATTGACAATCCCTGAGGATGAAAAGGTGTGTGTGTGTGTGAGAGAGAATGGTTTCTTTTATTTTATGAGAGAGAGAAAGATGGGTACGTTTATTTGATGAGAGTGAGAGAGAGAGAGAGAGAGAGGATGGATTCAGTTATTTGATAAGAGAGAGTGGATGGGTTGAATTTCTCATAAAATTTCTCAAAGTAATCTGTTTCCTTGATGTTTTCATGTTGGCCCAAAGCGTCCTTTTAGCTCAGTCATCGAAAACTTCACTTCTCTCTCTCTAAATGTGCATTGAATTCCTTTGTAGTGATGACTTTAATCTCTCTCTGTCTTCCTCTCTCCCTCAGAGTTTAGAGAGACAATACTCTCTCTCCTCTTTAGAGTTTAAAGTTTAGAGTGATGAAATTGATCTTCTTTTAATTTTTTAAATTTTTTGGTTTTGAAGATAATATTGGTTGGGCATAGTGCTGGTGGGTTGAGCTTAACCCATGCCACTCATGTTTTTGGGAAGAGTAAAATAAGTCTTTGTATATACATCACAGCTGCCATGTTGAGAAACGGCTTCAAGACTGATGAAGATCTCCAAGTAAGCTTTTCTCTCTCTCTTTTTTTTACATTCAATTTTCCCTCTTAATTATTGTTTATTGCACTTTATTAATAATAATAATAATAACTAACAATAATAATAATACTTAAAAACAGGGAATGATCCTGTGTATTTTCAAACGGTAGAGTCAAGGCTCTAAATAATAAAATTAGAGCCCACATCAAAAATTTCACTAGAAGATGTTCTTTTGTTACCAAATTATCGTCAAATTAATCATCTCGACATGGAAATGCATGGACATGAGAAAAAAAATAGATTTCTGGTTTTGGAAATAGTACATCTTGTAACACATTTTTGGACCGTCAGTTTTTACGATTTTCAAGTTTTATAGATATGGTCGATCCACACTATATTTTAAGCTTTAAATTTTGTAATTAAATATGAAAATTTATTTTAAAGCTATCACAAAGATTTGCAGTATTGAAATCACATTTCTCGATACTATTTGAAGGTGGGCTCTAATTTGATTGTTTAGAGCCTCGGCTCCATACCAACCGCACCTATTTTCAATACACATGCGTCTCGTAGCTTTAGCTATTGACCTTATTATATTGTTAAGGGATTGTATACAATGAGATTGGTTACTTTTGAAACAATGAGGTCACAAGTAGTTACAACCATCCGATGTGAAATTTGATAGCTTAGATGTGTTACGAAGTTCGAAAAAGTTTCTTTTAAAGTTTGAGTTTGGTCGTCGAAATAAATGTAGCCATCCAATTTTACATCTAATGTTCGAGATTAATTGTGACCACCTTGTTTCATTGTATACTTTTCCTATTGTTAATAGTGTAATTTTAGGCATAGTTGTTTTTTGCAAATCCAAGCACGTGCAACAATTTAGTGGTGAGATACAATAAAGCAGCTCTATTTGGTTGAGTACACTGTCCTTCTGCGGGAGATCACTGTATGCTTATTCCCTTGGGCAGAGGAGCTACTTGGGAAAAAAAATTTGATGGAATTTTGGGATCCAGTACTGAATGGTTATTTTAAAAAAAGGAAAATTGGATTTTTGAGTTTTTCAATTCTACCGAAAATTAGATCTCAATATTAGGATGTTGTTTTTTGAGGCAATGACAGAATATGATTTGAAAATATTCCTTTCTTTTAGGTTGATTCTTGGTGGCATCCCAAAAATATTGGGTACTAAAGATATTCTTGTCGTGGGTTTAAATTAAAGGGACAAATGAACAGTGTGCTCTAGGGGGAGCATAGAGTCGTTTGACTTTGGTTATGGGTTAATGTTTTAATCATGGGGAAATTAAGAGGATCCAGCTGTGGCTCAAGGTTGTTGGCCACAAACTCCGGAAACAAGGTCATATAGAAAAGGGTGAATGTCATTGTATACTATAGGACTTTATAGTGAAGGATGAAGTTTCCTAGGCTTTATTAAAACAAAATAAAGCCTCGTCTCAGATTCTCGTTTGGAAAACACTTTCGGCTTGAATGGAAATCTCCATGATGGATCTAAATCAATTTCTAACATTGATAATAAAATTCGAAACTCAAAACATGTTATAGATGTTGCGGACTTATGAACACTTAATTTTAAGGTGAAATAGACTGTCTAGATAATTTGTTACCATATACATGATTTTTAGAGCTTAAAATTGTCATTTTTCTTCACAACTATTATGTTCAAGCCGAGATGATCGATGTAAAGGTTTTCCAATGCTTGAATTGTATATTTTGATGATTGAGGCTTTATTTGTTTTGGTAGGGTTGCCACTCTATCAAACCATTTTCCTTTATTTTATCGCACAATACGGGCATAATTATTTTGAGCCATTAGATGTGAAAAAGAGCAGCTAAGAATGTCTTAAAAATATTGAGAAAGAATTTTAAGACTCTGAGCACTGTCGTGCACTCTATCTCCAATCACCAAATTTTCCATCGAATGGCTAAAAATAATTTTGACATTTTCACATCAATAAATAAAGGGAGTGGTTTGTATAGAGTCTAGGCTCTAAACAATCAAATTAGAACCTACCTTCAAATAGTATCGAGAAATATTGTTTCAATATTAAAAATATTTGCGATCGCCTTAAAATATATTTTCATCTTTATTTATAAAGTTTAAAGTTTGGTCCAAAAATACGTTACAAAATACACTATTTCCAAAACTTGAAATCCATTTTTTTATCTTGTCCATGCATCTTGATGTCGAGATGATCATTTTGAGGATATTTGGGCATCAAAACAACCTCTTCTAGTGAAATTTTCCTGAGAGGCTCAAATTTAATTGTTTAGAGCCTCGGCTATATATAAAAATTTATCATAAATAAATAGTCAAATATTTAATTTGCAACAAAAATTAGCTAGACTTAGATCTAAATTTGGAAAATTGAATGATTAGCTCTAAACATTGACCAAAAAAAAAAAATTAACGTGCTGATCCATGTCAGATTGCATATCTGGATTAGTTCAAATCAATGATCAAGATAATAAAACATTGGAAAAGCTAAAAAGAAAAAATAAAAAAAAGAAGAAGAAAGGGAATTAAAAAAAAGAGAGGGGACCAGATAGGTACCAATTCCTTCTCAAAACCAGGTCAATTATTAGTGGTCCGAGTTGAGATCGGGCAACCGCGATTTTTTAATATTGGGTGTAGTATTTAATGAGAAGGTAATTTGGTTAGTCAGCGGGATAAGGGGTAATATGGCCCTTTTATGGTTGTAGGTTTTTATGGGAATATTCGTTTTCTAAGTACTATAGATTCTATGATGTAAGCCACGTTATGATTTTATGGACTTTTGTATGGCCCACAACCACCTTGAAGAATTTTGTAGTACTTTCATAGAAAAAGAAAATTTTGTGGCCGAAACAAACGATTATGAATTTATGATAATCCATAATGCAAATATGCAACATTAGCCTACATAACTTTACTTACTTACAAGCATGTTTTTGCTCTTCCAACCCTAAATATGATGTCCAGAAAACCTGGCGCTTCACCTTAATTTGTGGAGAAGATATCAGACAATTGAGCCATGTTTCAGAACTTTAGATGAATGTTTCAACTTTCAAGAGAGGGAGGGGGCTCAGGATCGGGAATTGCTGATACATATTAGAATTGGTGGTTAGGCGATCAAGGTCCCTCTCGAGATGTTTGAGAATATTTTTTTAACCAATTTTTGCCTATTTGGATCGTTGATTTGGACCGGTCTAATGGAGGGCCTATTCACTTTGACGATCCAAATTCTCAAACATTGAATGAGTGTGAACCAATGTCCAAAAAATCTAACCGGCCTAAGAAATCGGCCAATGGCCGGTTCTGAGTAACTGGTAAACCGGCCTGTTCAACCGGCAAAAAGTGTTAAAAAATAAAAAATACAAAATAAATCTAAAAAAATATAAAAAGTATGCTTACAGAATGATTAAACATCACATCCAAACGAATTTGAAAATCAGTGAAAATTTGGATTTTAAAAATTCGATTTATGCCCAGGGGTAATTTTGTAATTCCTAAAAAAGAGGGAAAATATAATAAGAATTCATTGCCAAAACACTTTCCAATATTTGCCAAGATAATAAAAACATTAAAAAAGACACTACAAACAAATCTCTTTTTTTTGGGATTTTATATAATCTTTTTAAAATACCCAGCCCAAACACCAAAAACGAGCCAAAATCGAATCGGCCAGTGCTCGATTCCAGTTTGACCGGCCAGTTCCAAATTGGACCAACCGAGTTTGCAACTCTGGTGTGAGCAACTGGTTTTATGGGGTTTTATGTGGCCAAAGCTGCTTAAAATCACAGACCCATGCACAATGCAATACAATTTGATGCGTAGATGTACCATAGTTACTGGGAACACCCAACTAGGGTGGCGCTCCGGGACCCAGATCCGGCACTTTGTGGCCGGCATCTCATTTGGAACTCGTTTTCAAGTTTTTGGGAGCTCGCTCCTAGTTTTAAGATTCTCGATCCTATTCACAATGGAGCTCGCTCTCGGTACTACACGGATCTCACTCCCACTATCCCATGGAACGAGTTCCCAAACAAATTAGTTCCCTGCTCCCAGAATTTTAGGATCACAATCCCTTAATTTTCAGAACTTCATCCTTAGGGAGGATACCACCATGAACAAAAACATAGCCACCCACCATTAAAATAGTAGCATTATCAGCTGAAAAATGCAGAGAAATTGGGCCTCCAGGACTCAAAGCAGCTATTCGAACCTTAATTCCAGATGGGTAATTTTTGGGTACTCCATTAAAAATGTTAATTTGCTTTTCCAATCCCTTATAAATATTTCTCATTTGAATTCCTATAGAAAACCAGTTACCCCAATTCTTGAATTCGTCAAAGCCAACTTTTATAACATACATGAAATCTCCTTGTATATTCACGCTTTTATGGTTTCCTTGTAAAATTAACAGCTTCCTATTTGATTTCTCTTCGTCCTCCTTGAGTTTTTCTTAAAAATAAAGGAGCTTGAACTTTTCTTCTCGTCTATCAAAGATATCACCAAGCTTCACAACTGTGGAGTTGCCTGCAATCTAATGAATAGGTTTTTATCGAAGATTTTTTCAGAGCTTGTTTGGCCCTTTGGAGATCGCAATGGAGGTCCCCAACTACTAGCAAGCGAGGTTGAGATGTGTATGTAGATTTTTGTTGCTTTTGTGCTTTCTGAGGAGAGAGAAAGAGTCCACTCACTGTGAAGTCCGACGAATGTGTTCATGAAGTTAGAGATATAGTGGGGCGCTTTGGCAGATGGGTCTATTGGATTAGGGGTGCGGAGGTTGAAGAGGTAGTGAATGTGAAGAGGTGGTGAATGTCTGGTCAAGAGAGAGAGAGAGGAGAGAGAGGATAGGTGGAGATTGGCTCCAAATTAAGTGGAACACAATCCAACCTTGAATAAAGCTCGAACCATTTCAAATAGGAATGCATTTTTCTTAGATGGGGGGCACGACTCAACTTTAAATAGGATCCCATTCCTGTTGTCTATGGGAGCATGATCCTAATGAACATGGGAACATGATCTCATTTTACATGGAACACGTTCCCGTTAAATAAGGACTTCGATCCGAATGCATCGGAATGTGCTCCATGTTCATACGGGATTTCGATCTGCAACATTTATCCTCACCAAAACTCGTTTCCCGAGCTCCAAAGCTTTAGGCAACCCTCGATCAGATACTCCCATTCTCGGAACCGGAGCCGTTCTCGCTTTCGCTCCCGGTAACTATGAGATGTATTGCACCATGTCTGTGTTACCACATCTGGCACTCTTCATTTGCATGGGAAGGCATATTTAACAATAGGGATGGCAACAGGTTGGGTCCAGCGAAGTAGTATTAAGGTCTAGGATTTGGACCCAGAGCCGATCTTTTGGGTCCAAAATTTGGACCTATACCCGACCCTTCGGGTCTCGGGTCTGGTTGGTCCATTGCCACTCTCTGACTATGAGCTTTTTTCTTCTTCTTTTTTTTCCCTTTTCTTAACCGTCATATACCCATATTATTATTAGCAACATTTACAGTATTGCACGACATTTATGAATACGATTATATACCCACATTCCTTACTGTTTTATGTAATAACTGGAAATTCTTATGAAACAAACGTATTGGCAGCATTTATTAATACCCACATAGCATATGCCCATATCATTCGCGTCAGATAGGGGTCAAGTCCGGCTGGACCCAGACCTAAACCCGAATGGTATTCGGGTCTAGATTTTGGAACCAGATATTTTGGGTCCAAAATTTGGATCCAAGGTCGGGTCTTCCCGTCGGGCCCCAAGTCTAGTCAGGTCCATTGCCACCCCCATGCAATGACACATAATAAGTTCTTTTTGTTCATATGTTTTCTTGCAGCACCAATTTTTTTGCTCTACATTTTTCAAAGCGTGAAGTTTCTATGAGGTGCACACCTTACACGATACAAGTAAGGCACAACTCTACATTTTGCCTGAAGATGTAATTTTTATGACGAAAGCCTTACGATGGTTCAAAAATTCATGTTCAACCCGTAGTATGAAATTTAATTTTTTTTTTAAAAAGTAGAAATCGTTGAGAAATTTTTTTATGCGGAGCAGCGAACTCACTAGCCCGCTCAATCACGAACATCTATCTTGATGATAAACTTCCACAACTAAAGATTCCTATCCAATGGATAGGACACCTTTTTTTTTTTTTACAGAAGTGCTTTAAAATTTTATTTTATTTTATTTTTTACATTCATGATCATCATAATGTGGATCATGGATCTCTAGAAATTTGGATCCAATATCTATATAAAAAATAGGTGTTACAGGGAGCCCACACGAGAATAGTATGAGTCCTCCCAAATCCTTGATATAAACACTTGAAAACGTTTAAAATAGATATTACAAAATATATTATTTTTAAGACTTAAAATTCTTTTTTTTTAGATATATATTTTTCGAGCATGAAACATCTCGATGTCGAAATGATCTAATAGAAGGTTTTCCAACTTCGGATTACTCTTTTCTATAGGATTTATGAGGTGCACATTACTTTTATAATATATATTATAAAAATTGAAACCTTATATAAGCTTTTTCCTTTCTTGATCTCTCTAGCTCTCTGCCAAATCCAAATTATCAAATTCTAATAATAAAGTTCTCTTTAGAAATCTCTTTTATGTTTTACGGATGTCCTCATTTAAAATATAAGGGTTAGGAATAAAAGCAAGAAAAAAGAAGAAGAAATTAGAATAGCCATTCATGTGCTAATTATTTCTATTAAAAATAAGAATATCCACGATAATATTTAGCTCGTATAGAGCGTAAGGAAAAGTTTGAAAAATATTAGATAGAAATTAAACTGCTACAGAAATTATATTTACTTACAAATGAAATAAAAAAAAAAATATTTTATTAAAAAATATTTTAAATATTTCATCTAATCTGTCACCACAAGCATTTTGCGAGGCATGTGCCATTAGCTAGCTATAGTAGAAACGCTTGTTTTCACTATTCCCATTTAAATATTGGTAGAGTTATGATATCTATTACCGCCAACCATGATTTTCCATGGAGTAAAACACATGGGAGTAGCCATTCCCTTTCAATAAATCCCACAATATTAAAAGCATAAATATCTTGTCAATCCTTATTTTGGAGAGATTTATCTTAGAATCCACATTTTTTGTTGATTTTAATTTTAATTTTATGATATTTTTCTAATTAAATTTTGTATTATGTTAATACCACAGTCCGCTCCGAGCATGGCAGATGTGGCCGACTTCAAATTTGGGCTTGGGCAGGATCAGCCTCCGACGAGCGTCATTTTTAAGCCTGAATTACTACGAAAAAGTCTATATCAATGCAGCCCAGAAGAGGTAATGCCTTAGGATCAATTTTTTTCCCAAATTTATTTATTTTCAATTTGAAATTATAGGTCGTTTAACATTTGATAATTAGGAGCATTTTTTTTTATTATTTAAAAAAAGCTTATACAAGGCGGCAACCTCATCAGTTTCAAAAGGGTTCTAGTAATCGACATTAGTAATTTAAAATGAATGGTTTAGATTTAATATTGTCCTAAAAAGCATGTCCAATCTACACTGTACAACTAAAAAATATTGTATATAACATTGTAATCTTATATAACATTGTAACTTTCTACAAATACGGTTGCCACCTTATATAATATTCTTTTTCTGTTAACTTTATTTATTTTATCCATTTATTTCTATTCGGGAGCCTACCAAATAGAGTTAGATGTGTATAATTCTCCTGCCATGGAACACTTTATCATACGTTATTACAAGAAAATGCACGTCACTTTAGATTTGGAAATAATCACCAGTATATGTTGCCATACCCTTTGTTGATGAGATCAACCCTAGCTTTATATCTTTGTTGATGGAAAAGCATCTCCTGGGCTACTGGTAAACAAAAAGATAACCATGTGATTCTAAAGTAAATCCATAAATTTTTGTATCAAAAATATAAATTAATTGTCGGTTTTGTGCTCGAGGAAGTAAATGTATAGTGTGCTCTCATGGGAGTTGGACTGTAAGCATTTATTATGTCTAGGAAATAAGCCGGGCAGCCCAGTGTCTGGCTGGGAAAAGCTCGAGTCCGACCGCTAGGCTACCTCGGCCCCAAGACTGGCTCAAGGGGCCAAGGATGGCTAAGCCCCTTTTTTGTCTTTTGTACGCTTTCTTTGTTCAATTCTACATGGCCCTTCCGGCCTGATCTGAGCTAGGGCTAGACCTGGGCTCAAGCCAAGGCTGACCTGCCTTGGCCCAGCTCTTTGCCATCCTTACTGTTTGTATGTAGGGCGATGATTATCCCTTTTTTATAAGTTCATGACAATGATTTTCCATGGAATCCAGGACTGCACCTTGGCATCCATGCTCCTGAAGCCAGGGCCACTGATGGCTTTACTCACAGCAAAATTTGAAGGGGAAAATTCAGGGGAGGTTGATAAGGTCAACCGTGTTTATATAAAGACTACAAAAGATGAAGTTTTGAAGCTAGAAAACCAAGAACTGCTAATTAAAAAATGGCCACCAAATGAGGTCATGTCCATTGATACTGACCATAGTCCATTTTTCTCTAAACCCAAAGAATTACACAACTTGTTGATCAAGGCCTCCACTATGTATTGTGACTAAGATACTCAATGAAGGGTTTGTGTGTTTTGTTTATTTATTTCTTGATGTTGATCAAATAAACTCACATTAAGAGTAATGAATTTGGTTACTATTATATGGTAGGGAGTGGATTAAGATTGTTGAGGATTGGGATTATGTAAGTAGAAAGGGGGCCTAGGGGTCTCACATTCATGGGCCTTTTTTATTGTTTACATGCGTAATAAAAGGAAACTCTCTTTTATTATTTATATGTGTAATAAAAGGATTGAACACATAATCAATCAATCTCTCTCTCTCTCT